TTTCTTTGAATGAGGATAGATCACCATTACTTACTAACGGAGACAAAGAAATCATGGTAAAAATCAATGACCCATTTGAATCATTCATACGATTCACATCACAATTTGTTTTATTCATTCTCTCAAATAATAACTTTATTTTTATCAACCCAACTGTATGGTCCTATTTGGGACAAGGAACAGAAGGAATTTTGGACGTTATTTATCCGATCGCAACACCAGAATTTAGTCGCATACTTATTCATGTTTTCATCATCATCATCATCCACCATCACAATGTGGGATTGTTTGAAACAAGAACCCCCCCCCCCTCCCGGAACAAGGGATAAGAACATAGCTAACATAACAATAGCACATGTGGGGCGGGGGGAGTGAGGGGGGGGAGGGAGTGAGGGATGGAGGATACAGCCCAGAAGCTACCGTATTTTCTCACATCCCAATCTATCTATACTTGTTTAGTTAATAATGAACAAAAACTAACTCCTACTAAGCAACAGTCATTCCCGGAAAACACAGGTCAGTGTAAACTAACTGACTGATGTCTTGAATGAAACAAAGCACATTCATAAGTGCAAAAAAACGAGTAGAGCGAGATTAAATTATTGGGATGAATTTATTCCACGCTATAATTGGGATTTTTTGTTTTCTCCTCAGAGATCCGAATTAAGTCAAAGTCAAAGTTTTATTATGGGATAACCACCAACTTACAAGCTCGTGCTTCTCTTGTCCTTCATAGGATGTTTACACAGATGAATCGTTACACATCGAAAAAGGAGTCACATAGAGTTCCGGGTAGGAGATGATAGAGAATGTAGGCTACAGTGAATTTCCTTTTGCTTTTAGTGGTTTACGAATGTGAGGTGTGCCAAGGATTCGTCGAGTCTCTGCCTGTAAGATTCAACACTGGGTGCATAAACGACATTAGATGGAAGGGTGTTCCAAGATCTGCATACTCTGACAGCAAAAGACTGGCGCCGGCAATCCAGTCGACACTTGGAAATCAGTAGTTTGAAACTATGTCAAATTCATTGTCTATGGATTTTGTGAGAATTTTCAGGAAAAAAATCATGTCCTCCCTGACATTTTTCTACTGATGTTTAAAGCACCAGAGAGCCTTTTACATAGCCTGCTTGTTCCTTTAGCACTTTTCACTATTTTGAACGCATTTTCTCCTAGTCTCGCTCAGCTTTACTGCCCCTTGCTCTTAAAACAGTACTATCGCTCCGAAAGGTGATTGTGTTAAATATTTTGGACTTATTTTATCGCCTTACCTTTCTTGGTCCAGACCTGTTGAAAAAATTTACCATTAGGTTTTGTAGTTTGTCCTTTTACGCTTACAAAGTCCGCCGTTCCCATAAATGTAATTTCTTAATTTGTGACAGCCTGTAGTCTTCCATACAGGTTGTACCTTTCCCGGTCTAAAGAAGAAAGGCTTTATTTCAATTGTCCGATCGTTTAAACGTCTTTTCCTTTGCAGTGGTACTTCCAAGACAGTTTTGTTTGATTTTATTGTGTGAAAGCATTTTTATGCATGTAATAGGCATGCCAATAATATACTGTTAAATAAACAACATTGCCTGCACCCCCATCCCAATAAATTTGTTTCATCCATGTACGTGTTCCAAATTTAGGCTTCTTTGTGCAAGTACCACCACATACCAAAACGGAATCAACCCTTATCTTGCCCGTGTTTTAATAAATCGAGCAATTATTCTTAAAGACTTGGAAAAACTCCGGTCACATGAGATTTTTTATGGCATTCATCTTATTTTCCCTTTTGCCTCATTGTGACTGGTCAAAAAGGCTAAAAATTCACCCTGTTGGGTGCACAAAGCTTAATTTGACTCAAATGACTCCTTAAAATTGGAATCTAGTAAATAACTCCGAGGGAAGTCGAGTATCAATTTTCAGTGGGTGTTTTATATCACCCACTGTGTTCACAAATTGATCCAATCTTTCCATATGGAAAATTTCGACGATTCCACGACAGTTCTGATTCTATATCTTATTTCGTTTCTCCGTGCACTGAACCAGTCTCACCCCGAATAAGATTTCAGCACCACTTAAGAAGGATATCTAACTGCGATGTCGATATATACTTTTAACTCGTTAGGATTCCTCAGTTCTGTTTAAAGAATTTATAAATTTGATGTGATTTACATTTTATTTCTTGGGGTTGTTTTACTCTGAAATTCTTGAACATGCTATCGATTCTCTTCCTGACAATTTTTCCTCATTCTGCTGCAATGTCCGAACTTGACCCAATTAACTCATTTCTTTCCACTAGAATAGACCCGTACCGTATCTTCCTGTGTACCAGTGAATAAAGATGGGATCATCCCCGAACTATATCCCAGTATTCTCTTAGCCATATTGCTTTTCATATACATGTAATTATCTCCTTATTCTCCTGTTTTACATTCAATTAACTGAATTTTCCTGAAATGTAGGCTTTATTCTTGCGTCAGCTTGACAATACAACACAATGCTAAGTACGGAGCCTGTTTGCGTTTTCCACCATAGTGAACACGAAAGCATGAGAGAGGATTTACAATTGATAAACCATGAAGAATGGCACGAAAATATTAGGCTGTGTAGATGCATCCAACCTTCCCAGATGGAGTCTCAATCCCATATCACCGGTTAGCTAGAAACATTGAACAACATAGGAATAATCTAACGACAATGACGTTCTTTTAATCAATCTTTTAAATCAATCTGATGGAATAGGTATACAATTACAGTCAGGCCGCGTTATTCTTGTGCTAACTCCAGCGGTTTATTTTTTATTCTATTTCAAGTTCATCGATTTCACATTTACATTGAGCATTCACAACCACGGTATATATATATATTATAAACTGTGCTTTGGTCAGCAAAGTTAGCTTCGTCGTATGATGGTTTACAATATTGATAACAACGCCACTCCGATCTTTGCTATTTGCATTTGATATATCGACAACCCTACCGGTTCCCATGTTTGGCGCCATACCGATGCAGCCAAAGTAGGCCTAAAGAAACAAGTTTTTTTGTGCCTCAGCAACTAAATATTAAAATTTGAAATTAATGGACGATTTGATTTGTTCATATTATGAACTCGTTGTGTCAATGAAACGTAAGCTGAAAAGCCGGAAAGCACTGGACAGCTGTTTCGGCCTGGTTGGGTTTCATCAGCAGTTCGAATCCATCGACCTAACTGGGGATCGAACCCAGGACCTCACAGGTAGAACAAAAGCATACTACCCACTGCCCAGTCAAATCCTCCATTACTTTCATAAAACAAATAATCAGGTTATGAAAGTTTCCAACCGAGAGGTAACCCTGGGGACTAGTGCTGAGATGAGCGAAGACTGATACTTACAACAGGCTCGCATAGATGGGTTGCGCTATATCGTTTGTGTTCCAAATGAGAAAACGGTCTGGTCAGTTGTCCGGTGGCCGAGTGGGTAGCATGCTTGCGTTCTACCTGTGAGGTCCCGGGTTCGATTCCCAGTTACGTCGATGGATTCAAACTGCTGATGAAACCCAACCAGGTCAAAACAGCTGTCCAGTGCTTCGCAGATCTTCAGCTCACGCCTCATTGACACGACGAATTCATCATATGAAATACCAAAATATTATGATCCTCCAACGTTGTCAGGTGCAAAATTAAGTTCAACGGACACATGCTCACGCCAAAAGAATGTTTGCTCAATCTGTGGAAATTGTGAGAAATTCACTTTAGCTGTTTCTACTGCTACGTAGGTAGCAGAGAATAATACTTCCTGACCATCGTCACCTGTGACAGACAACTCTGGTGAACTGTTCCAAAACTACCGAGAAGGATTTCAATACGAGACTGAATGTCGCGGTTGCAACTGTCTATTCAGTTGCGGTAGTCTTACGCTAGCCTGCTTTGGGCTTGTACAGCGCAACAGAGTTAATACGAATGTTTGACAGGATGTTCCCCTGCTTGTTTCAAGGCGACTTGAGACGATTCGTGGTTGAACGGATAACGGAATGGCGGAGCACGGCTATACAGGAAGGCGGAGGGACGGGACTGTGGGGCATCACTGACAGGCAGGTCCTCCGTGGATAGGGGTTTGCAGTAAACCTGCAAGGCAAAATGAACGAAACTCCATGAAACGAATATGTTCAGTGACATGACACACTCTTAGTCAAATGGAACTGGTGCGGGTCGCCAAGACTTACAGTGGCGTGGGCCAAGATCTACGCATGACATACCCAAAGACACGGGAACCGGTATATGCTTTGCTGGTCGCGTCCGTCATTGTGCAGTCGCTAAGATGAAAATTACTTCTTTTTGTTAAATCTCCGTAAAACGTTGTTCTATGAAGAGGATTCATCTTTAAAAGCAGTTGATCTCTGTATTGTGACACGCATTTTTGACAGCAGTTTTCTAGTTGGACAGACTGCCATTATAAACAATTTCTGAATGAATATACAGAATACTTTCAGAAGCATCTTGGTTTTTGTGTTGTTACCTTTTATCACACTTACGCTTTCGGTTTTCTTCTAGATCATGTCGCTTTTATTTTTAATCTCTTACTTTGTTTTGCCGGCAAACAATCTGGTTTCTCAGTATGAAGTTATGTGAAACCCCTCGTTACGAGGAGACTATATGTGAATTATTAGCATGGGTTCGCATATTTTTTGGGGATCAAATACTACTGATCAATCACTCACCTACCAATGAGTTCATGCACGCTGAAAAATAGTCTGTGTCTAGTTTGCTGAAGTAATTCTAGCTTGAACACCTGACTTCCCCCCTGGTTCGATTGGATTGGATCGATCCATGTGACTTAAATCGTTATTGATTTGGCTTCGCTTTATGGCTATATGAGGGCACAAAAACTTGCATTTCACGCGCATACGAAAGTGCGATTCTCCCTTGTTTCCTTAATTCATAATTGTTTTCTCTGCGAACACCGTATTTGCTTATGAGATCTGTTTCGACTGTATTTGAATGAGGGATGCCTCTCGATTCACTTTCAGACTCAATGTCTGAACAGACTAGTGATTATTTGGCCAAAAGGCTTCAACAAAACTGGATGAATCGCTACCCGGATAAACCAAGTCCCCAACCTCACGGAACGGACCCGGACGATTCACTGACGAATTTGAATTGGTTGCAAGTAAGTCCGCTGTGCCGTCGCACAATAGTACGACACATGAAAGACGCATTTAGTTCACCAGTTAAATAATAGTGGATATGAAAACGGATCCGTATCTTCAGCTCGATTACAATCAAGTGCAGTTGGCCGGCGGTGGTTATCTGGGTAAAGACTAAAATTGTCAAGGTCAAGCGATTAGAATTAGCATGCAATATCAGTCAGTTTTTCGAGTGCAATTCGGTCTTATCATATTGGCTAATCTCAACCAAAGACATGCACACACATTCACGTGTACAAGCAGACAATCTTGTATAAACGCGCAAACACATTTAGCAATCAATCGAAATCGTTCTGTTTAGCAATGCGATGCGTCACTGGATGAAAATCCGTGCTTGGCAACCCCATAGTGTCATCCTTGTCGTGGTTGTCGTTGTCGAAGCACAGTTTATGCATCCATGGTTACTAACCCAAGCGGTTTGGGAAACCATTGCATTATATCATCACTGATCATAACTGGTCCATAACCCTCAACCTGTTGGCCTAACCCAAGACAAAAATATTTCACATTAATAAAAAACCCAGTATATTTTCTCGACTGGAATAAGATAATTTGGTTTCAAGGATTTTAAACGAAGTAAAAAACGATCTAGTCCTATTGGTGTGCATTTTTTCCTGAAAAAATTTAAGTATTTCAAGCCAGGGGGTAATCACTATTAAACTAGCGTCTCATATGAAGTAAGTCCCGTTCTAAGTCATTTTGAACAATCATAAAATCCTTCTGTAAGTATAATTTAACAAAGTTGGTTTGCGTTCATTCGCGTGATGGTATTAACATACACATTGCAGGTACTAATACGATCAACTAACACACAAAATATCAAAAAGTGTACGTGAAACAAAAAAAGTTATTCTCTTCATTCAACTTAACTGTTTGACCCCCTTTTACTCTGCTAAGTATCCCGACTCTCTATGTACTGTTATTCATGTTATTGTTGTTGCGTTGGCACCAAGCTTGCTCACAAACCGGTGATATATATCCCATTATCTCATTCGTTTCATTTACGTTTGACAACGAGTCCTGGTTTGAATTAAAATGTTATAATAAGCATTTTACAACTCAATGTACGCCTTCATTCTCTCTTGAAATAAGTAAATAAATAAATAAATATATATAATTAATTGTTGCCAACTAGAGTTTATTAAGGAATCACCATGCAGTTTCAGAGTGCACTCGAAAGAAAATATTCTTTACCACAGCTTGATTTACGAGAACACAAAATAGCAAACAAGCTCGTTTTCGGTGCTACATCAACTGGCTAAATACAGCACAATTCATAACAGATTAAAACAAGTGGGGGAGAGGAGACAACTATCTGCGAAGGAGATCAGAGTTGAAGGAGAGATGATGGACTATTAGCAGACATTTTCATGGCCAAATCAGAAAACGGAGTAACCTCAACACTCATAGAAGAATCCCCCGGTCTACAAACGATATGTGGATGACATCAAATGTGCATACGATGATGAAAAGGATGCTAATATTCTGCTGGAGAAATTCAATGGAGCTCATTCCAAAATAGAGTTTTCACACTGGAAAAAGAATCCACAAATGGTCTCGCATTTCTAGACGTATTAGTTTCTCGACAATCAGATGGCTCCATTCGTAGAAGCATCCACTACCACAGCTTCGTCCCATTGCGACAGAAGAGAAATATGATTCGCTGCTTGACAAATAGAGTTAAGAAACTTCAGACTCTGTTGAGTTTGAACTGGGAAGAATACGAAAAGTTTTTCTAGAGAATGAATATCATGAGTCATTTATTCTTAAAAGCATGACATCATATCCTTCCAAGACTTTATGCGACACAGCAAATAACAAGCGTGTCTGCCTCTCCATCTCATTCAGGGGAGAAACGATGGCGAAAGTATTGAGTAGACAAATTCAATCTTCCATCAAATTCACCTACTTTGCGGTTGAATCCTGCATTATATTCACGTCCAAATCGGTCCTCTTTATGCAGACTAAAGATAGATTACCCCCCGAATACGACCTCATTTTGTGTTTAGCAATTCACCCGTTCCTGTGATGCAAGTTATGTGGGTCGAAC